GAGAGAGAGAGAGAGAGAGAGAGAGCTAATTTATAAATGTCAAAAAATTTTATTTTATTTTGAACTAACTAACAAGATGTAAATTATAATAATTATCTACTTTATAGACAAGTTATGTAATAAGTACAAATAATGAAACGCTACAATTACCCAAATAGTTTGCCATATTTTTTGACCCGTCGTATCTCTACTTCATGTTGGCTGAGAAACAACTGTTCCCATGAATTGCCTAAAAATATGCCCGGCTTTGGGCCAGTGATACCTTGTTTAGTGAAATAGTCAAAATGTTGCGTGAAGTGCCTAGATGATTAATAATTAATACAAATTGTAAGCCTAGTTATATTTAAAGTAAAAACCTTTATTTTGAAGTTTTACTCAATTTTTAATTTATTTAGTTATAAGTAAAAGTAATGTTATGAAACTACAACACACTTACCGGTAAAGTACCAGGATAGTCCCGAACAGTATTAACCCGTAGGCTAACCATTCAACTAACAGCCAATTTAAGTTCATTGTAAAAATAATCTAAGTCTTGACAATTATAATAGTTACAACTTGTAATTTACTTTTACTTAAAATAATTATTTTTATCATAAAATAATCAATAGTTTTTATAATACATTTACTTATTTATTTAGAAATAATTTTTAATAAAATGCATAGTAATGAATAGTAAAGGAAACTAAACATTATTTTTATTTTAGAAATGATCAAGCAATTTAAATAACATTTAATGTTTAATTAAATTAAGATCACTTTAGTATAATAACCAAGTACATGTAATTTTAGAAATTTTAACTATATTTCTTTCATAATTTATTTATATAATACATAAAACAAATCATTAATAACCAGAATATATAAATCAATAATACATGTATTTATTTTACAACAAACTAATTGAGACTATAATAAAATATTTAGTTTTTAATTAACATCAAGATTAATAATTAAATAATAATTAAATAAAATTAATTGCATTTATAATAAAAAGTAAGTTAAAAAATAAAATAAAGTTAGTAGAATTAAATTAGTAAAATATATTATAATATTAATCTCAAAAAATACAATATAATGATAATTTGGGTTCAAATAAAAAGTTAAAATCTATATTCAGATGTGTTAATAGTTTTATTAATTATACGTTAATTTTCAAAGGTTTAACTTGTTTATAATTTTTGACAATTGTTTGAAGCAAATGATGGATGGATGCTTAAAATCTCATTTATATTCATGGTAATTTTGTTGTGTGGCTGACGTTGGAGGCGACTTTTGGACAAAAATAGCTCTGGAAAATTCTGTCTGAACATTCTCCAATAAACATAATCACCTGGATAATGACCACGATCAGTGATTTTGGGATCAAGTAATGCCGGTAATTTTTCCAATACACTCAATAGTCGCACATTTAGACACCATTCCCAGTGTTGGTAATCAAATTCAATAAACGTAATACTGTGGCTAGGGTTGCCAACTCTGATCGACTACCGCCTTGAAAAATACAAAAATTTTCTAAATTCACCTTGACCAAACCTTGACCACGATTAATGTGGCTAGGGTTGCCAACTGGTCAAGGTTTGCCTTGATTTGCAAGGTGAGAGGGTTCTGGTCAAGGTGAAAGGCGAGGGTCTCACCTTGACATGGACAGGTCAAGGTGAGAGCAAATGTAATTACCGTATGTTTATTTTAGGTTTTTATTGTAATGAACACACTATTTAATACCCAAAATAATATTTATTGCCTATTTGTATAATAGCAAAACAAATCCTTTATTAAAAACCCTTCATAAGGAAGACTTTTGTCTTCAAAAAGCCAGTATTTTATATGGAAAATACACTGTATTATAATAAAACTAAATTAAATTATAGCTTGAATTAACATTTTGCTCATATTTCAAAAATATTTATAATCAAATATGCAATAATAATCGTGGTCAAGGTTTGGTCAAGGTGAATTTAGAAAAATTATTTTAATTAATTTTGCGTTATTATTGTTTTTTCAATTTTGCCCCTTTGGTCAAGGTGAATTTAGAAAATTTTTGTATTTTTCAAGGCGGTAGTCGATCAGAGTTGGCAACCCTAACTGTGGCCATAATTGTATGCAAACAATTCAAATGCATTCACATCATTAACATTAGACTTGCCATTGCATTGATAGCAAATGCCTTTAATGTTTGGACACTTTATCATTATTGTCTTAATTATATCCAAATTGTTTTTAATTAATTTTGAACAAATATTTGCCACAAATTGTTTATTATATATCAATCGCTTCCACTGTTTAGACACCGATTCGTATCTGAATTTCTCTTCAAATGTAAGGAAAGATAATATCAATTCACATAAATCGTCGCCATATCTCGCAAAAGAGTCTTTTGCATAGATTTTAGACATTTTTCACACAATATATACGACACAAACAATTAATACAACAATTAAAACAACACTCAATAAAATATAAACTTAAAATGAGAAATAAACACTTGTCGTTAGCGCTTATATAGCCAATGGATTAGCTCACATTAAAATACAACTTAATCTATCATTATAAAATGCCTTTATAAAATAGTCATGGTTTAAATAATATTTACATGTAAATAATATGGAAATTTATTAATGTATGAATTACTGGAAAATAAATAGCTATGATTTGATTATTAATAAAACGCAAAACTTGATGACAAAATTCAAATAGAATTAATTAAAAAGCGATTAAAAATGACAAGAAATAACAAAATTCATGCAAAACTTTGTGTACATTAAAACATTGAATCAAACATTACTTGTACTAAAAATATTGATTATTTTAAAATGTGGAAAAATATATCTCATTGAACTATAATGTGATATACAGTACAGTGTATTGTTACCAAAATATTTAATCTAGCATTTATGATTTAAAATTTTTAGCTAAAATGTACTAAAAACTTTAAATATAAAGTTGATGTTTGAAATTAGGGAAACCGAAAAATGAGTCATTTGATATGCAGACTAAACAAAATCCATGAATTAGTCAGAGAATCTTAACATATAGTAACAAACTTATGCTTTAAAATGAACAAATAGTTGTAATAGTCATTATTGTGCCCAAAACTATGCAAAAAGCATCCAAAAAGCATCCGAACGGTTTGCCTATTTGAAATATATCATTTATCAAATTATTATAATCACTAAATATAGTTGACTTATAATTTTCATTACTTATTATTCCAAAATAAACTAATTGAATTGAAAATGAATATATTATGGTAACAAATAATTAATCAGATCATGTTTAGATTCAAGTTGTAATTCTTTAAAACTATTGATATAATCATTTGTATTAAAAATTTTTAGAAACCTATACAGCGAGTTAAATGACAAACAAACAATGTGCATATCGGTTTAAAATGAGAAATAATTTTATTTTGTTTCATATTTTACAGCAAAAAAACAAAAATTGATTGAATTATTATTGATATTGATTTATACAGCAAAACAAAAAATAAAATAAAGCACTTTTAGCAACAAAACCAATCATTTAATTTAATCACAACTTATAACAAATGACAATTAAATCAAACTATAGGTGCGCTTAGATCTGGGACCAGATCGAGTGGGTGGGGGTCTCCACTTTGTAAGCGGCGCGACCACCGTGGGTGGCGGGCACAGCCCAGGGGGCGATCGGGGCGGCCAAGGGGGCGGCGATATGGGCTGCGGGGGCCCAGTTGTTATAGTAGTTGCCGTGCGAGTAGTGGTTGTACGCCGGGGCGATCGGGGCAACGGGTGCGACCGGGAGCGGGGCTTTCGGGGCGATGGCGGCCAAGTGGGCGGCGGCGGCAGCGGTACGCTTGTCGACACTGATGTCACCCTCGGGTCTGAAGCCGTTGGCGTCGGCCACGTATCGCACCTGTAGTTAGAGTTTGAATTGAATTTTTAGATTTAATGCGCCAAGGTGGTTTAATAAATGTAGTTAGATTATTGTACCAAGGTGGGTTAATGAATTCTTACCTGTCTCAAGTCACCGTTGGCATCGACGTAGCTGTATGAGCCGGTGACGGCGCCACCATGGCCAGATTCCTGTCGGGACTGTCCGTCAGAGGTCTGGTAGCCGAAAGAGTAGGGCCCGGAGTGGCCAAACTGGGCGGCCGAGACGGCGATGCAGGCACAGATTACGATCAGCTGGATGGATAGTTGGACATATGTGAGTTAATAATTATTTAGTTTATAAATATCTACTTTAAAAATTATGAAACTATAACTAAATAACTTTTTTATTTTAAAAAATCATAAATAATTTTCTATCAATTAATAAAAAATTATTTGAAAAAATAACTATAAAGCAGCAAAAAAAAGTTCACATAACATGAATGTAACTTATAAATTACATACAGATCTCATTGTTAATACTAAGTGGTCGGCGACAAACTTCAAGCGAGAGTGAATTAAAAAGTAAAACTGATTTTTGCTATCGAGACAAAAGTTCTTATATACCGTTCATATCAATCAAATCAAACAAATTACGAGATGTTTGGTTGGGTGACGCAAACCGCGCGAGATCAAATATTAGTCTCTCTCTCTCTCTCTCTCTCTCTCTCTCTCTCTCTCTCTAAGATATAGTTTTATATATTAAAAGAAAAATATGATTTTTTCATTTAAGTGATTGTTTGACGTTATAAT